CTCTGACTTGAATTTCGCAGTTTTAGCACCTAGGCTTTGAACTACCTTGTGTGATGGTTACCTTTTGTTTAAAGTGTTTGATTCTTATCTGAGTTCTTCCTGAAGGAATGAGAGGGCCTTTGTAAAATTTAGTTAGGAGAGAAACCTGGAAAACCAAGAGGTCTCATGGCTGGTAATTGCTTGAGGAAATGGTTCCTTTAAATAACTCCAGATAAGAGGTTTTAATATGTTTTTGAAATTGCTTGCTAAGGGTGTAAATTGGGTGATAATGAAAAGTTTTGGGGGCAGTCAGTTCACAGAAGTTGGCTCCATTGCTGCTGCTAAGCCTAAACTCATCCTAGAATGACTCTCTTTTTTCCATGGACCCACACAAAACAGAACACTGGCAGAATTACTTACATAAGAAAGGAAAGGGGACCTTGGTGAGTTCCCGATAGGACATCCCCATTGTCTCAGTGTGTGGGGCTGAGACCCCAAGAACAATGGCAATGGGTTTTTGATCCTACTGCACCTATTGGTTTTGTGGGAGCCTAGGCAGTTTGGATGCTCACCTTACTAGACCTGGATGGAGGTGGGTGGTCCTTGGACTTCCCACAGGGCAGGGATCTCTGTTTGCTCTTTGGGCTGTTGTGGGTGGGGGACTTGGTTGGGGGAGGAGGAGGGAAAGGGGAGGCAGCGGTGGGGAAGAGACAGAAATCTTTAATTAATAAAGAAATAAATAAATTAAAAAAAGAAAGGAAAGGGGAAAAAAGATGTGTTGTGAGAAATTTGTGAAGGGGGAAGTTTGCTTGTCAGAAGATACCTATACACACAAATTATATCTTAAAAAATAGAAGTTTGTAAAATAGAGGCGATCAAAAATTCTTTGTTTAGAAGAAATAAAACCAAAATATAAAATATAGAAATAAGACTAGAGACCATGCCTTTGAGAAATGTGACATAGACTTTAGTGTTTCGAGGTAAGAATCCAGTGTGAGGGAAGGGAGAGAGAAAGCAGGTGAAGACGGTTAACTTATTGCTCTGCCAACAAAACAGCAGTAAAGCAACTAAATGGTGGTGTGCTGTTTTGAGGCACACACTCGGATATAAGAAAATCACACAGAAAATTACACAAGTAAAAAGAAAAATCAAAGGAACGATGAACTCATGATCCAGAGCAATGGCTGTCAAGTGGCAAGAGGTGACGGCAGATGGGGAGACAGTGATAGGCACAGAGTGTTGTGGAACTTCCAGCTTCTGTTTGGGGGGTTTGGGATCCAGCCCCAGTGCTGCTGTAACCTGTATGCTCGCCCCTCACTTGTGGTTTCATCTACTTTCCCTGGAATCTGGGACCAGACTCATCAGCCTCACTGTTCTAAGGGGAGGGGTGGCTTTTAGCAGCGGCGGTAGTCCTGAGTTCATGTGCTAAACTATTTAATGAGATGTGAGTCCGACTATGTCGCCCAAGCTGACTTTGAACCTATGCACTCAAGGGATTCCCTTGTTCCCTCCTCTGAAGTTCTAGGGCTACAGGTGTGTACCACTGAGTCCAGCCTTGTTGAATTTAAACGATAAATAACACAATTAGTTTAGAAGATAAAGTGATAGAGATTACTAGTAGAGATTATTTGTGCAAATCCTGAATTAATAGTATGTTGACTTAATGCTTTTAAGTGATTTTTGTATAGAAATGAATAGGACACCTACATTCCTGCAGCCTCCTTAACCCTTTCAGCAATATGCTGGAAGAACCTTTCAGAGTCAAGAAATACAGCTCCTTAACAGTTTTGGTTACTACACACACACATTTACATGGACTTACCATAATTGCTTGAAAATTATTTTAAAACAGATTTAAAATTTGTCCTATAAGTAAACAGTTGTCCAGTTTTTCCAGGGTATGAGATGACAGAAATGAGAATAGGACTTCGTCACCAAAGCAATCAAATGGGGACCCTACGAAACATGACCTGCTGCCACCGTGTGGCAGAATTATGTCATTAATGAAGACAGGTTTGAAGTCAACAAGTTCTATAGCTTGTGAAAACTATGTGACATTCAGCCCACTTCCCCCTTACAAAAGAATCAAGTTAGGAACCGTGGCACATGTTTGTAACTCCAGCACTTCTGAAGCGGAGGGAGAAAACCCACAAGTTCAAGACTGCTGTGTAGTCATGCTGAAACACATGGTGAAACTTCCGGCAGAAAGACAGACAGACAGCTGGATTCATGCCAACGACCCTATTACTCAGGAGGTGAATACATAAGGTTGAGGACAGTCTCAGGGCCTTTGAGGATACATGGTGAATTCTACTCCAGTCTAGGGTCCCCTGTGAGGCTCTGTATCAAAATTAAACAAACAATTCCCCCAATAAATAAAACTATTATTATTTTATTTAAATTATAATATTAAGAAAAATGATGAGACATATACAAGTGGAATCATATGAACGGCTAACATTTAACTTGGTTGTCTAACGATTATCTTCCATTAAGTTGTTAGGCATCATCCAATCAAGCAAAGCCCTTAATGTTAAGGAAAAAGACTGGTGGATCCTTTTTCCTTTTCTAGTGGGAAAGAATTCTGCCAATGGACTGCCTTTAGACTCCCATTACAGCCATTCTCTGGCTCTGCAAAATTTGAACTAACCAAAACCCACCCCATAACCTCATGAGCCAATTCCTCAAGCTGGCCTTTCTCCGTCGTCACAACTCTCTCTCTCTCTCTCTCTCTCTCTCTCTCTCTCTCTCTCTCTCTCTCTCTCTCTCTCTCTCTCTCTCTCTCTGTATGATCCTGAAGAAAACACTGGCATGTGTGAAGGAGGCACATGACTTACTAGAATTTTTGAAAATGATAACTTCACCAGTAGCTGCGGGGGGAAAAAAGGTCACTCATATGGTGAGAATTTAAAATTTCAAGACATGTCTGCTCTCATCTCAGTATTTCCCCTGCACTCTAGAGTTAAAGTTAAGGTGACTCCGCTCATCTGTTTCCATTTTCCTAGATTCTCTTCATTATTACAGCCCCGTGGGCTGGCTTCACTCTGAAGAATGACAGGCTAGTTCAGTCCTCACACAACAGCCGCGGGAGGACACTGATGAAAAGAGGAGCCAGAAACAGGACAAGCATCTCGGCGCAGGGACCTGAAGCAGCAGTCCCTTAATTCTCTGGCTAGGGATGGCAGAAGGGAGCTCCTGCTTTTCATGTGGTCCTAATGAGCACCGCTGCATGGAGTCTGTACGTGAGGGTGGGAACCGCAACTCCAGGGCCGACCTTAATCCCTCGTGTCTAACAGCTTTGGAACTGGGCTCTTTCTCTTCATGCTGAAGATGGCTTTTTATCTGTTTCCCAGTGGAAGCCATTGCTTGCTCTTCCAGGGTCTTTCCAGCAGGGAGGCCAAGGGGACAATCTTCAGCCTTCTGCTTCACCTAAGGGGAGTGGGAAGTTCATTTACACACAATTTCCTCTGGACCAGGTAAGGTGCCATAGCCAAGAGAAGCGCGATTGTATTTGGTCTTCTTATCTCGTGCATAGGTGAGACCAGTCAAGTACAAGGACATTCTCCACACTACCAGAAATTCAGTGTGGATTAGGTTTTTCTCCAAACATGCCCACATGTATTGTTTTGCAAAGGTAGCACAGCCATTCTTCCATTCCTGGACCTTTATCTGATGGCACTGGGTAATTTGCTCTGGTTTTGGAAGCTGTGCAGTTTTTCGTGAGCAGGTTAGATTGATTATATTTCTCTAATTGAAATGCATTTAGTATAATTGAATCATTTATTACTAACTCAGAAAAATCAATGGTTAATGATTTTAAAACAGACTGGTACTGGTCTGGCAAGATGTCTCAGAGGGTAAAGGCACTTGCTGACCTGAGTTCACTCCTTGGGACCCATGCCATGGAAGTACCTACCACCCACGCCCAAAAGTTGTCCTCTGACATCTTCATGTGGGCACTCAAACACATATACTAATTATGCACAAATACCTTAATCAAAACATTATGTCTTGACTGGTCCTGAAATTACACAGTACTAATTGGTTCCTTTTTGTTTGTTTTTTTGAGACAGTTTTTTTTTTTTTTTTTTTTTTTTGCTTTGGAGCCTGTCCTGGAACTAGCTCTGTAGACCAGGTTGGCCTCAAACTCACAGAGATCCACTTGCCTCTTCCTTCCCGAGTGGTGGGATTAAAGGCGTGTGCCACCACCGCCTGACTAATTGGTTTCTTTTCCTTTTTTTCTGGGGTCCTCGTCACAGTTAATCCCCCCCCCCCCCCTAAACACAGAAGTAGTAGTCTTCAAACCTGTGGTGATAATTCATGGGATGGAGACTGGATGGCATAAGGGTATTTTTTTAATCCCTCAAAGGGCTAAAACCCTCCGGGTGAATGAAATCTGCCCCCCCCCATTTATATATGTGCTTATTTACTTATTTTTGGTTTTCTGGAGATTTCTCTGTGCAGCCCTGGCTGTCCTGGAGCTGCTCTGTAGACCAGGCTGATCTTGATCTCAAAGAGATCTGCCTGCTTCTGCCTGCAGAGAGATGAATGGATTAAGGTGCTGGGATTAAAGGCGTGCGCCACCACGGTCCCGCTAGAATTTCCCCTTAAGAACATCATACAAGATCTGAAACCTGTCCGGACTTGGTTTCTCTGCAGAACTCTTCATCACCTTAAAAAAAATTGTTTCAGGTGCCGGCGCTAACTCGTTGGGAGATTGACAGGGGCACCAGCTAATCGGCAGTTTGGATGAGTTACCTTAGACATAGCAACAGAGAGCAAAACAAAACGCTTTCCAGCAGCAATAGTAACGGGCTTCTACGGACGGCATAAGATCCCTGACTGGCCTCGAACTGGCCACTTCGGGTCTTAAACACAGGTCAGGTCCCGCCCCTCTCAGACGTCACCGAGAAGGCCGCGCCTACTCAGACCTCTCCGCGCGCCCTCCTCAAGCGTCACTTCCGCCAGGCGCCCACCACATGTCACTTCCGCCCGCTCCTGCTTATAGTGCGGCGGGCCGGGTTGAAGCAACTTCCTTTTCTCTTTCCCTACTTCCTCTCCCTGCCTCCGCCTCTGTGAAGCTCCTTCCCTCTCCGCAGCCGGTCCGAAGTGAGGGATGAGAGTCCTGCCGAGGTCTACGTGAATAACCGCCGGGACCCGCGCGCCCCGGGGCGTGAGCTGCGTGGGAGCCCAGGTCGGCTGTGGCGTCGGGCGCTCCCGGGCTGGGATAGCGGGGAGTCGGTCAGGCGGACTCCCGGGTCCCCTCTTATAGGCCTGGAGGCTGCTGAGTTCGTTGGCCGCTTTCTAGTCAAGTTGGGCTCCCTGCTCAGTCCCTGCCACCTCTCTTTGCAGGCAAGGTCCGACTCACATCGCCGCTTGCCGTCCATGCCTCGTCCTGGAGTTCGAGTCGGGAGCCAGCCGGGTGTAGTTTGGTGATGGCCGGGTTTCTCGCGAAAGGACCTTAGCATCCATTCCGCCCCGGTCGAGCCTCGGAACAGGAGTCAGGTGGGGGAGTTACTAAAAGTACACCTCGTTTGTACAGATGAAGAAACGGGAATTGTTGGCAAACGCGGTCTCTCTTAAGGCGACCCGGCTCCCCAAACGAAGCGCCCGGGTGCTCCCCTAGACCTGACGTTTCCAGAGTTCCCCAAGAGTGCGTTTAATAGTAAAGAGAACGCCTGAGTTTCTTAGGTGCGTAGTGTTCATCTGACATTCGTTGTTTTTCTAATTATGTCATATGCCCGTTACAGTTAAGTCTAGCAAGCATACTGTTATTCTTGGTGTGGGAAGCAGGTTCAGAGGTAACTGACTTTGTATACGATTAATGACTTCGCTAACATTTCCTACATCTCTTTCAGCTCAAAGTCTCCAGATGAACACTTTAACGTTAATTTCTGTCATAAATAAACTGTCCTTTTCTATTTTTGTTTCTGTGTCTCAAAGTGAAGAGTCCTAAAGTTTATTCAGTTTCTTTATTCTGTGACTATTATTATTAACATTTTGTGTATAAACCCACTACCCTGTCAGTCCGGCTCCCGTTTCTCACAGACACGCCCCCCCTCTCCGTTTAGGATTGGTGCTGCTAGATGTGGAATAACTAGCTAGTTTTTCTACCTGGGTGCTCTGTATTGTGGCTTACTTTGCTTATCTTACTTCAGTTCATGTTTTTTTTTTTTTTTTTTTTTCCTTTCAGGAAAGCGACCGCCATCATATGCCGAGATGTCGGGCATCGGAAGCAAAAGAGCTGCAGGAGAGCCAGGCACATCTGTGCCTCCAGAGAAGAAGACAGCTGTGGAGGACTCCGGGACCACTGTGGAAACAATTAAGCTCGGGGGTGTCTCCTCAACGGTATGAGAAATGAGGCTGCTGCGAAAGCCTGCTTGGCTTCTGTCAGCGGTCACCTGAAAGTGAAAAATTAGGGTTGCTTTTGATGGGGGGGTGGCTGACATGCTGTGGTGGTCAGTTCTCGAAGCGAGGGGTGTTGATGTTTGAGCTCTGTTGGCGAGGGGCTCCTGTGAGTCTGGTGGCTACTCTAGTCTTTGTTATAGTCGATTAGCACTTTTCGTTTACTGAAAATTTGGTGCCATGATCTGAGAGACACTCTGGCAAAGCCCTCTAGAGCGCTGGCCTGAATGAGAGTCAGATCAGGGGTTGCTCTCAGCCTTATCTCTGAGCTGCATGGCCTGTGTTATCTGCCCAGTGCCCATGTTTGTGTGAGAAGTGAATCTGTGGGACCAGTGTGTGACCTTGGGTTATGGAAGAGACAGCTTGGGAGTCCCTGAAAAGAGTTCCCACATCACTTTGAACACAGTGAGTACTCCGTAAGAGTGAGCAGTCAGTCGTTACTGAACTAGGTAATGTGATAGACAGTAAAGTGGTGGTTTTTTTAGTGGATCATAATAATCGCTTGTATGTCAGAAGCTAGGAGACTTTGATGTAGAGAAGATTCTATATTTGAATTGGGCAAAGGAATATACTGTGCATTTATATTTCTTGTGGATATTCATGCCGAGGTTCAGAGAAGTTGATTTGATTTTTTTTCAGTTACAATAAGATCTTGCTTAATAATGATAATGAAGTGTTATTTAGGAAGATGCCTGGGTTCTAGAACTCCGCCCTACTGCCAGAAGGTGATTTTGTCTTAGTGGCCTTTCTTTGTGCTCCCTCAGTGCACTTATGCCAGTCTAAGTAGTAACTGAGTGTCTGTTGTTTGCTGGTGGCTGTGTTTACAGCCCGTAGACTTCAGTTCCCAGAGTGCTACTGACAGGAGAATAGGTTGATGGAAGGAAAGCAGAGCACACATCCCTCCTTGGACTTTAGTCAGAGGGCAATAAGGAGACCCTGGAAGCTCCCGTGGGTGCACAGATTATCGTGTGTGCCCCTACCAGAATTGTCCCTCTTGCTCTTTCTTACTCCCCCATCCCCACCCTGACAGCCTCACCTTTCCTAAGGTAAGGATTGTCTTCCTGCCTCTTTTGAAGGCAATGACTCCGTTGATGTACTTTTGAGGTTTTTATAGTGAGCCAGCTGAGGGTTGGAGACAGGGAAAGTGAGAATCCAGTGTACCCTTGAGTTGTAAACTCTGGCAGTATGAATGGAGCTGTCCACTCCAGCTGCTCTAGCCTGGCTGTCTGACAAAACAGTTCAGAAATATTTGCTACAAACACAAGGACATAAGAGTTGTCCGAATGAGAGATCCCTGAGAAGTGGATCAAGCCGGTAGCATAGACAGAAATCCTGACAGACTGGATAAAACACACGAAACAGGGAAGATCAGTGTGTGCTTTGGGGAGTAAGGCCTTTCTTACTGGGCTAGAGACGTGTATGGGAGGACTGTGTTTAGGAGCTGTGGAGAGTGAACCAGCCTGTTTGACTTTGAATATTAAGACACCTTATTGGAGTGGATAGGGAGTTGGGTATAGTAGTCATGGAGACAAGTCTGAGTTGGAGAAGCCAAATGAATGTTTTAATTGGAGTGAAGGGCGACGTTGCATTGAGCAACAGGTAGTTCCCTGGCGGCTGCAGGCCTGTGCTGAGATAGTGGTGAGGCTGATTGCAGTGAGCTTAAGAACGTGAGAGGATTAGGAGATTGGGTAGAGATAGTGCTTTGGAAGGTGTTGGGTCACAAGGTCAGGCTACCTGTGGCAAGAACACGTTTCTTCCATAGAGGCAGAGAGATAGCAGCCGCTGAAGTGAGCTCACTTCTCGTGCTACATCTGGAAGGAGCATGGAAACACATTCCAAGAACAGTGCTGTGTTTTGAAGAAACTGAGGTGACAAGAGTCCTGTCTTCTTTTCCTGGAGTTTCTTACAAGCACTCAGAATCCTCACACGACTTCATTCTTGGACTGTTTTCTGTCGCTTTACTAATAGTGCAGGAAGCTGGCGCAGTCACTTCTAGTCACTACCCTGACGTGCCAAATGTTTTCACTGAAAATAAAAATCTCCTTAACCAGTTCTTGCTTTAAAATCTCAATTTCACCAATTTCTTGATAAAGCAAGACTGCTAGCTTTTTAGCTGACTTTTTTGCAGATCAGCCTGCTCTCCCATCTGAGTTTACTCTGCCTTTTTTTGATAAACTTTAACTTTTGTTTAAGAAGAAAAACCAAAAAGTTAAAGTGTCAGCCTTTCCACCTGCTATTTTGTGACCTGTGATTGTTCCCCTCTCACTCTTACCCCTGCTTTCCCCAGCTTCTCCAAGAGCAGAAAGCAGAGAAAGTCTAAAGATACTCAGGCCTGGGGAATTGCTGATGCCGGGAGTATTTTGTTTGCTTTGCTCTGTTTTGAGACAGGATCTTTCTTTGTAGGCCAGGATGGTGTTGAACCCAAGGTCCTCCTGTCTCTTCCTTTTGCCTGCACCATTATGACTAACTTGGAGAATGAGGTGTTTGCTGAAGGGAAAGTAGCCTGAGTAGAAGTTGGAAGTTTTAAGAATGTGTACATATTGCTGGAGATATAGGCCAATGATCCAGTATTCCCTTACATGGTTATGCTTGGCCTACATGAGCCCTGGTCTCAAATTAAAAAAGAAAAGTACATAAGCTGGTGAATTGGATTGGGTCAGAGAGTTGGGGGGAATTAATAGTTTCCCATCTGGTGAGTTATATTTCTTACTAAATAAGGAACAAAGCCATCTCTTGAGTATTGTGTAAAAGGGAGACTCTGGAGAATTTTACACTGGTTTAATGGAGAATGGATGCTCACTTGTTAATATTAGGAATTCATTTTGTAAAGTCACTGGTTTTCTTGGTTTCTGGCGTTTCTGTAGAAATCTTGTTATATGAGGTACGGGGATAGAATCGTCAGCTGTCTGGATTAATTTAGGTTGACATTTGTTCATGAAAATAGAGTAATGGATTAAGGACATAGGAGAACAATGGGCAAGTGTTGAAGGATTATATTGTAGTGTATAAGCGAAGTAGAAAGTAATGGAAATGAGATAGAGTGGGAGAAAGGGAGTTTAGAATTCTGAAGCCCTAATGAGGCGAAAGGCCTAGAGACATGGGGCACCTGGAGAGACATGTTCTATTTGGGAGATGGGAAGCTGGAGTAGAGCAGAGTTCCGGATGATTCTTACAATGTACATTTTTGAATAAAAGACATCCCAGAAGTCCAGTGGTGGTGACAGTCATTTGGCATTAAAGTGTTCAAAATACTGACAAACTGGGTGCTAGGACATTAGATGGTTCATCTATGTCTATGTGTAAGTCACCTATACTATGCACAGGTACTGGACTAGAGAACATCCTGTGTGCCAGATCTCGGGTGGATGGAGAGTGGCGCCTAGGAGGTTAGACAGTGACCTAGCTGCATGGGTAGAGCCTCAGCGCTGTGGTGCTTTGTGGAGGTTCATGACCATAGAGCAGTGAGACGGTGAGCTTGAGAGGCTAACATTTGCTCTTCCTTACGTGATCTTATTCCTGTTCCTTTATTTCTTCTGCTCCCATTTCCTGCCCAATTATTAGTTGTATGATTTCTTTGTGTATGTATGTATCTGGGTATGTGTCTGTTTATATGGAGGCCAAATGTTTTCCTCAGTTACCATTGATGTTGTTTTTTTTTTTTTTTTTTTTTTTTTTT